TCTACAGGTTTGGGTTGGGATCCGATTAAACGGACAATTGATGCTCCCACTGAATGGTGGACTGAGAAATTGGAGGTAATTATATATGTACTCTGTTATTTCTTTGCTTTTCAAATTGGTTTTCATTTATTTACTAGCTCAACTATTTACTTTAAAATGTTATATCACAGGCGGTACCTGCAGCGAAAAAGTATAAACAATGCGGGATTGAGCCGGAATTTGAAGAAAAACTCGACATAATGTTTAAATGTATTGTCGCTACCGGAAAATTTACTTTCAACCCAAGTGAAAGTACCTTTTCAGGGATGCCAGATGAATTTACCCCTGAACCATTGACACCTGATGAAGATGTGCGTAGCATTAATCAGAGGGAGACGGGGGAGTCTAGCACAATCAAGAGGCCGAAGGTTGCTAAGAAAAATAAAGAGAAAGAACATGTTATGAATACCTCCTTCGATCGGTTGATTGAAGCATTTGCCGCTCCACCTATCTCTGATGCAAGCATAGTAGACTGTTTGAGGCTTTTGGGGACTATTCCTGAAGTTGTTGCAGATAGAAGATTTCACGCACAGTGTGTAAAAAAACTTGAGGATTCAACTAGAATGAAAATATTCATGGCGCTTGAGCCTGAAATGCGGCTTGAATATTTGCGGGTTTTGTTTGAGGAATGATATTATTTATGGATTCATTATGTATCAGTACTGATTGAACTTCTACTTGTGTTGTTCTTTTTTTTAATATATGTTTGTTATTCTATATGTGTCATTGTACATGTCTAATCTTTCTATATGTAGCAAATGAGAATTTTTATTATTGAATATTAATGTTGATGTTGTTAATCATTTAGGATGGACCCGCAACGTCAACGTCGTAGGAGAATGGCATTTGCTACAGCCGTTGCGATATTGCTGTTGGACTATTACCAGCGTAGAACTACTCGCATTCCCCGTATGACATCCACCTTTGTTGGAGATAGATGGGTTAGTGAAATGCTTTCGGGACATCCAATAAGATTCAGAAATATATTCAGAATGACGAGAACGATTTTTATGGATCTTCTAAACGAGTTATGTCTAAATCACGGCCTTCATGGTTCTTCTAGAACCCTGTCTCGGGAGGTGTTGGCAATAACACTGTACATTCTGGCACAGAATGAGTCAATTCGAGGAGCTATGGAAAGATTTCAACATTCATCTGAAACAATTAGTCGCTATTTCTCAAAAGGAATACAGGCACTTATTAGCTTAGCTGCTCAAATAATTAAACCAGAGGATCCATCATTTGCTACTACTCCAGAACAAATTGCCAACGATCCTCGATATATGCCATATTTCAAGGTAATTATTAGTGGTTTTAATTTGATACATGATATACTTTAATAATATTATTACGCTCTTGTTTTTCAACTAAACAGAACTGTATTGGTGCAATTGACGGTACACACGTTGATGCCCGAATACCTAACAACGAGAAGGTAGCATACATCGGTCGTAGTGGTTCAACAACGCAAAATGTCATGGCCGTATGCGACTTCAACATGTGTTTTACTTTTGTGGTTGCGGGCTGGGAAGGAAGTGCACACGACAGTCGTATTTTCTCCTTTGCCACGAGGAATAGATCGCAGTGTTTCCCTCACCCCCCAGCAGGTTAGTTTTGTTTAGTAATTTGAATATGTGGGATTGTGCAATTTTTTATTAACATTGTTTCTCGTACCAGGAAAATATTATCTGGTTGATGCAGGATATCCTATGCAACGGGGATACCTGAAGCCCTACTCGGACACGAGATATCATCTTCCTGATTTTGAGCGAGCTAGTGGCACGGTTCGTGGCAGAAAGGAAATGTTTAATAAACGCCACTCATCTTTACGCGGGGTAATTGAAAGAACATTTGGAGTTTGGAAGAAGAAGTGGGTCATCTTACGTGATATGCCGTCGTATCCTTTCCAAAAGCAGGTGTACATTGTGGTTGCAACAATGGCACTACATAACTTCATCCGAAGACATTCCTCGCAATCAGATACAGACTTCAGTATGGCTGACAATGATGAACTCAATATTTTAGAGCAACCAACAGGACATGTGGGGGGGCATTCATTACCTGAGGAGGACATAGAATCTAATGATTTTGAAGATCAAGATGCTGATAGTTTGGCTGATATGATTGCTTTAAGGGAGTCTATCACAGATGCTATTTGTGGCTATTGATCAACCAAGTTTTCTTTTCATAAGATTTTAGGTTTATATTCATACCCATTTAATTATGTTTTTTTTTTTAAATACCTTAAGCTGACATTTCATTCTTTTGTTATTTTCACAGTTATACCAACATGACCTCCAGAATATCAAGTACAGACAGAGGGATTTTGTGTTATTGTGGACTACCGTCTCCGTTGCTAACGTCACGTAAGGAGCATAGCTTTGGGAGGCAGTTCTATGGTTGTGCCAGGGGTGTTTCAGCCCGTTGTGGTTTCTTCAGGTGGGCCGATAGTCCATCATATTACACTGACAGTAGTCATGCCAGCAGTCATGTGAATCCGATGTTTTTTCCGGCTGACAGTGCAGATGAGGACAGGCGTAGCCAGAGTCTTAAGTTGAATATTTTAATATTTCTCCTTGTTGTTGTACTTGTATTTGTACTTTTTTTAGTTATCCTGGTACTCATTAAGGTGTGAGAACTGTATGGTATCTTTTAGAAAAAATCTGTGATTATCGTATGTTTCTGCACTATATGTTTCTTTTCCAACAATAAGCTATTCTGAATAAGCTGCCCCAAACAGTTTTGATTCAAACAGGGGCATGAATGTCATTTAACCACCAATAAGTTGGTCTGAATAAGCTGCCCCAAACAGCAAGCCAGATTATTCTGATAATCTGCAGATTATCAGATTATCAGAATAATCTGCTTATCAGCAGATTATAAATAATCCACAGCTGCGCCAAACAGACCCTAAGTCTAAGTTAAAGTATGATGATATTCATGATTTGATTTTGGCTGAGGAGGTGCGCAGAAAGGATTCTGGCGATGTCTCGTGTTCAAGTTCGGTACTGATTGTTGATCCCAAAGGGAGATCACAAGACAAAAACTCAAACCGTAGAAGTTTAAAATCAAAGTCATGTCAGCAGGCAACCTGCTGGAATTATGGCAAGACTGGCCACGTAAAAAGGAACTGCAGGAATCCTAAGAATAAGGTGAATGATGACGCTAATCTTGTAACTGAAGAAATACATGATGCACTATTTCTGACAGTTCATAGTATTGTTGATGACTGGATACTGGATTCAGGGGCTTTCTTCCATACATCTTCCCGTCGGGAGTTAATGCGAAATTATGTTGCAGGTAACTTTGGGAATTTATATTTGGCTGATGGAAAAGCTTTGGACGTGGTGGGGATGGGAGACGTTGATATTGCACTCCCTAACAAGAGCAAATGGATTTTGCAAAAGGGCAGACACGTTCCTGAGTTGAATAAAAATATATCTATGTTGGGCAGCTCAATGAGGATGGTCATTCGGTAGTATTTGCAGATAACACCTGGAAGGTTACCAAATGAGCATTAGTACTGGCTTGGGGTAAAAAACTGACACACTATATATGACTACAGGTTTACTCAGGCGTTGACACATGAGTCAGAGGTGCATTATGGGGAAGCAGAAAAAGGTTCATTTCTTGAAAAGTGGTAGAGCGCCAAAGGCAGAAAAATCAGACATTGTACAGACAAATGGTGGAGAACCACAGAGTTATGAAGAAATCTTGCAAGATGAAAATTCGAGCAAGTGCGAGTTGACCAAGGATGAGAGAAATTTTCTACCAGGGAATCAGACTTGGGAGATGGCAGAACTTCTATCAAGGAAGAAGGCATTGCACAACAAGTGGGTGTATCGGATGAAAATTATGTTTGGTGGCAGTAAGATAAAAAAGGCTGGACTTGTTGAAAATGACTTTCAGCAGGGGCAGGATATTGCTCATGCAGTGGGAGTTGTAAGCAGATACAAGAGTAATCCAGGAAAGAGCTTGGAGGTACAAGGCTACGTTGACGGTGATATGTCAACTGAGGGTGTTACTCATGAGAAGCTGAAGTTGTGCTCAACTTCAGCTGGTCTTCTGACATGAAAAAAGGAGCTTTGAGTTGCAGAGGTGAAGAATATCATGTTTGAGGAAAAATACAGCTAGTGCTAGTAGATGATGCAGCTAGTAGGTGATGCATTCAATGTCTCAGTCTCCAAGTGGAATAATTGTTGAGTAATGTGGAGACCCGGTCCACCAAATTTAATTAGCTTCTCACCTACCACACCCACCTACCGCTCACCTACCACACCCACATATCGCTCACCTAGTACATCTCACCTACCGCTCATCTACCTCCCACCTACCGCTCTCATGGTTTCTATAAATAGTCTCTTTTGGTTTAAAGAAAAAGCAAAGCCAAGCAAAGCTAAGCAAGACCAAGTCAAGTCATCTTGAGAGTTAAGAGAAAGAGAGGAAGAGAGAGAGAGAGGAAGGGAGAGAAGAAAATAGATATTTATTGTAAACGTCGAGGCGTTCGACGGTATAATTCCTTGAACAAATAAATCCTCTGCAGCTCCGTGAACGTAGGCAAATTTGTCAAACCACGTAAATCTATGTGTCACTCTGGTATTTTTTCTGCGTGTAATTTTTTCTCATTCCATTTTTCGCTTTATTGTCGTCGTTTTTCAAAACATTTATGGCCTTCAAAACCATCAAAGTGCTCTCAAGCTTGATTTCGTCCTAGATTTCGATCTACTAGCGGGTATACCTTCATGTGCCACATCAGTTCCTCACACATTTTTTTCCTGCAGGAGATAGCTAAATCATTGTCTTCATCAATAACAAAAATAAGCCCAATTAACATTATTGTCTGTCTCATTAGGAAACAACATTAGCCATCATCACCATCAAATTGAATGATAAACACGGTCAAATGAAAAAATTAGGCACGGATGATTACGTAGAGCACGTTAAAGACCATTTACACTTACAGCTTCTCAATTCCAAGAAACGCTATATCGTAAGAGGGAGAATAGATGACGGCAACCTAAGGCAAACAGAACACGGCGAGTATTTAAGAGAAATAATAAGGTAAGAGATACGGGCTTGAGAATCGGGATACCTTGGATGGAGCCACATTGAAGTAGAGCTTACTGGAGAGGATTCGATTCCTGCGGAGGTCTTCGGCAGCTTCCCTAGATGTAGGCGAGGAACGGGACGAAGAAGGGCCCATTACCGGCAGTAAGAGAGAAACAATGGTTGGGTTAGCCTCCGGCGACTGAGTTGCGGCACTCCTCTCGAACCAGAAGGCTCATAAACCGTATGCGGAAAATGGGAACATCTGGAAAAAATATTACATCGGTACCACCACGCACGTAGAGGAACGTGCGTACCCAATAAAATCACGTCATGATATCTCGCGCGACGCAGAAAAAAAACGGCGTAGTAACACGGGGAATATTTTTCCCCGTGTTATTCATGTGTTATTGTGTGTTATTCATGTGTTATTCATGTGTTATTGTGTTATTATAACACCAGAAATATTCCCAGGATACAATAACACATGAATAACACACAATAACACATGAATAACACGGGGGAGAATATTCCCCGTGTTACTGCGCCGTTTTTTTTGCTCTACCGCGTGAGATGTCGTGGCGTGTTTTGATTGGCTACGCACGTTATTTTTACGTGTGTAGTACTGATGTAATATTTCTTCCTATCTCTGCGTGGTTGCTCAGCTGAGATGATTCCAATTTTGGGATGCTTCCGGCTTCCGGCTTCCGACTTCCGAGCCTGCAACTTTTTTGCTAGCTTAGGGGTCTTTTTTTTCAATTTTATTCACTTTATTTATATTTTAATTTAAAAATATATATATTTGACCATAATGACTGTTTTTAAAAATAATCGAAGCATACAAAATTTATTTTTAAGTGTTTTTAAACATAAATTAATTTGTTTTAAAAAATAAAAAATATATTTAAATATATACTAAATAAATCTATTTTTTAAATAAAAAATAAAAAAAAAATTAATGTAATATTAAGACTAACCAAGTTCATAATATTGTAGTAGTTTTTATAAAATAGAAATCAAGAAATATCATATATTTAAGATGTTTTATTTCGTTTGATTACTTATTAAATGAAATTAAGAGTTTAATTTTTTTTTTATGTTGAATTGGCTATAAAATAAGATTAATCATTTTATATTTGAGCCGCATTAAACAGATTGTAATGTTGGTGACAAATGATGATAGTTATTCCTGATAATGGGGGATAGATTGCTAGAAACAAGCAAATAGTTGGCGGTGATTGACGGCCAATGAAAGCAAAACAAAACTAGATGAATACAAGTGATTGTCGGAACTAGCAGATTGCAGCAAATTGCAGCCGCCGCAATGGGTGAAGTTTCATACATGAAGTGATAGCTGAATAAAGATAAGTGATTGTCGGCAACTAGTGGATTGCAGCAAATTGCGGCCGCCACAACAGGTGAAGTTTCATACATGAGCTGATCCCTAAATCGAGCAAATTTTAAATATATTAAAAATGAATTAATGAGTCATTTGATTTGTTGAAAAAATCCAATATAAAACAAATAAAATATACTTGAAATGTAGAGTATGAAAATATTAAAGTGTCATTTGGGTTGATGTAAAATAAATGTAAGAGTTTTATGTAGGAGTTTTTTTTTTTATTAAGTAAAATGAACACACCATATATCCATGAGAAAGGCAACGGACATCAACTTCTACTGGCAAATGATTGTTGCTACAGCATATGATGTGTTCTTAAATTTAATCAAATTAACCTAGTCTTGAATTCACCAAAATAAAACTCAAGGGTGAGTTTAAATACATCAAAATTACACATTACTTGTATTTGCATACAACTAAGGGTTTGTTTGGTACAGCTGTTGATTATTTATAATTTGCTGATAACCATATTATTCTGATAATCTACATATTATCAGAATAAATTGTCTTGTTGTTTGGGGCAACTTATCCAGAACAATTTATTGGTAGTTATGGATGTAAAAAGGACGTTTTTGCCTCTGTCTGTTAGGATTGTTTTGGGCAGCTTATTCAGAACAGCTTATTGGTGTAGAAACATAAAATCATCACAGATCATTCCATACCATGACATATAATTCTCACACTCTCGTTAACACTAGAAAAAATAAAAAAAAGATACAAGCTTAATTAATCCAACTACAAAAAAATAGATAAAGAAGAAATATAGAACTCCAAATGTAAGGACCCCCTTCTTTAGACATGTTGAAACTATAAGGAAAAGTTCATAGCTTAATGATCCCGATAAACAATACAAACGAGAGCATTTAAAAACTTAATCATCTAGAATAACACGTAAATATTCTAATTGATCCGCTGGTTTCATCGTCATGAATATGTGCCTACTAGTTGGATCCTCTAACTTTTTTATAAACAATACGTTGTTGGCCTACTTCCCAATTCTATTTCTTTAATACATAAATTACAAAAAATTTTGGTAACTTCCTCATCCCACATAGCTGAAGGACCCCCTTCTTTAGACGTGTTGAAACCATAAGGAACAAAAGTTTAATGCTCAAAGAATCTCCACAGTGTTTAAATTAAAAAAATAAAATAAAAAAACAAATACACAAAAGATTTACGTGGTTCGGTCAAAGACCTACGTCCACGGAAGGAAAGGCACGAATGTTTTTATTATGAACTTCTTGAGGATACAATGATACATAGCTGCCAACCATATCAAAGTAAACAAATAAGCTTATTACAACATCCACTCAACCATTTTTAAGGACACGGAGAATCTCTCAAACATCCTCTCAAATGTGAACTTCGGCCAGGAACAGCGAGAGAGCGAGACAATAGAGGGGAGACGCAGATCTAGGGCAAGGCAAGACGGAATCGAAAGGGGGCGTGAGACGGGATCGAAGGGGCAGAGGGTAATAAGTTACTCCGAAATGCTGAAACGCAGGGTGCTATTCGTGGCGAATGATCCATCGGGCAATAGGCAAATGCTCTACATGATTATTGGCACCGCAGTGACAAACGTGTTTTCCAAAAAAGACCACGGCGTTTTCGGAACGCCGAACGCAATTTTAATCTCCCCCAAACGGGGCCTAAATGTCAAACACTTAGGGTCTTTTTGGGGAAGCTGTAGCTTCTCAACTTTCCAACTGCAGCTGTGCTGCTCTAAGAAACTGTTGTGGGGAAGCTGCTACAACGAAGTTGGTTGTCTGTTTGTTGCATCTGTGTGCAAACAACTATGGGACAGTTGTTTCTAGAAAAATGATCATTCTGACCCTATTTAGTAAAAATATTTAAAACAGAGATGTGAAAGCCACATATTTGATACTTCAGAAGCAGAAATTTATTTCAAAACAAAACAAAAGTTCAGATACACAACTCACTTAACAATGAGACCAAAATTGCTAAAGAAAAATAAAAAAAACTATTAAAATTACATTTAAATTAATGATGATATTATTTTTAATATTAAGGTGATGTATGTCTCATCCTAAACTATCCTCCAATGATGTTATCAATCCGTGATCTCTTTCGGCAATGTATGAGTCTTATAATCATTTTATGTTTGAGGTCAGAAATCAAAAACAAATGTTTGCATTATTAACAACAGTTAAAATTTATAAGAGAAACATCATCTTCTTGCACAAAAACAATATAATAAGTAATCTATAAAAATCAATATAAATATTTCATAAAAAGATACGTCAATAATAACAAGATAAAACCCAATTTTTGGGGGTTAAAAAAAATCATGATTGGATCTTTTTCAAAATAATCATGTAAATAAATTAGATTCTTGATTACATATTTATTATATATTTGGATTCAACAATGATTTTGCACAATTTAACAATTACAGTGGCATTTGGTAACATAACTTGTGTAGAATTGGAGCAGTATTTATGCAAAATACTACCATCCATTTTGCCTTCAATAAAGATGAGAGCTTCCTTACTCAATTGTTTCAGGTAAGAGCAAAGCGGAAAGGGGAAAGGAGAGAAAGATGGGAGTATTAAAGATCATCGCATGTCGCGATCCCGTTATAGCCTTCCCAGCTACCTGGCGGCTAGGAGAAGGAAGTGCAAAAATTTTTGGGCAAACAACAAAATGCTTCTCTTTCGTGGAGCGACGGAGGAGGAGAATGACAAAAAAAGAAAAAGGGAAATGCTTCTCTTTCGTGGAATGACGGAGGAGTGCAAGGGATTTGGCGTGCGACCAAGCATAAGCCGTAATAATCCATCGTTCGAACATGGGCCACGAGTTTGATCCGCGTCCCGCCGCACTCGAGACGCCAAACCAAACAGCTGTGAATCGTGGCGTGCCCCCGCACCATGATCTAAAGGGACCCTTAAAAACACTTGCAATGTTTAACCCTGAAAATAATATATATGTGTGTGTGTTGAATAGGAATATGTCCATAAGTCACATCAAATGAATAGAGTCGAACATTAGAAATAGAGTGTTGTGTATTCATGGAATGGTTCCCTATATACAGAACAAATGTACAATATATATAATTACAAGTTTGGCCCTATTTTAATTAGAATGTTACAAGGTATTTTGGGTATTTAAATAATGAGTCTATGACTCAGATACTCTATCGCTTAGTCAACTGAGATTAGTGGGCATTGGTTCGATAAGAATCATTCATGCGACTGTGTTGAGTTGGGGTTGCCAATTGATTCTTGTAGATCCTCCGTTTTTCCGGACTTAGCTAAGTAAACTTGAGCCTGTCGTTCGATTTCTCTGGCCCGGTTATCTACTATCGAGTCCTAGATGTGGAGTTTCTATCATCAAGATGAGACTAGGTTGTCAGGCAGCTGATGAATCACATTAATATGGTAGGTAGTTCACCCCTTGACAAAAACTTCTTTGAGGTGATCGTAAAGTATATCATGGTAAAATCTTTGGCCGCTTGATAAAAAGTCTCAGAGGATCTTATGAGGCCACAAAAAATATAGTAGCTAGAGTTGTCTTAGGCCTCATCTCGGCTTGTTGGAGCTTGGTCATTAGCTTGGTCAGCCTCCGTTCGACCGACCTTTGGTCCTGATTCTAAGGAATCTATAATTGGTTAATCAAGTTTTTTAATCTTCTGGTGGTGAGACTTTTGGTCTTCCTTCAGTGGGACATCCCTTGTAGCACGTTTACGTTTCTTAGTTTGTTGGATTTCATCGAGATTCATGCTGACATATTTTCGATATATATATTTTAGTTATGTGATTCTCCTGTTTCAAGAAAGTGACTATTGTGATAAGATTAAGAGAATTGTTGACCTCATTTTTTAAGAGGTCAAATTCTTCTTTTCAAGAATCTAGGATCTAGCCTTAGGACTTTTCTATGAACTATCTTAGAGGATTAGTGAGGGAATCCACACCTCACATAGAAATTCAAAACAATTCTTGACTCCTCTTGTGAAGTCCCACCTAAGTAGTCACAAGCCCCTAAATGAAATTTTGGGAGGGCTAAGGCCAACATGTGGAGCCTCAAGAGTGAGTTCTATAGGTTCAATCAGGCATTAGGACAACCCTGGGTGGCTTGGGTTCAGTCTCACACACACCTACACACACTCAAATCCATTCAATTCCCCACATACCCTAAAACCCTAAAATCACATACACTGGACTTACTTAACTCCTTGGGAAGTTTACATGGGTGGTCCCAAGCCCTTAGCCTCTAGCTAATATGGCTAAGATTAACATGTGGAGACTCAAAAAGAAGTTCTCATTTGGTGTCTTATGGTCCCAAGATGGTTATTCATGACGTGCATGATCACCTTATCCAATTTTTTCCAAATTACCTAATTTCCCTAAATTTCCCAAATGTCCCCCAAATTCCCCAAAACACCCATTTTAAACACAAATTCAAACCCTTCAAATTCCAATACTAAATTCAAAATTCAATTTCACCAAACTTAAAATTAAAACCCAAATTTCAATTCTAAAACCCCCAATATTGAGCCAAATGTCCAAATTTTTATCAAAATTCCACCAAGTTCAAAATCCCCCAGATTTAGCCCACACACCAATTCAAATACACTAAACCAAAATCAACTTTTCATGACAATTTCAAGCCCTTCAATCCCATTGGCCAAACACATCCTAAAATCCCAAAATTAATTCCTCCATGACAAAATTCAAAAGCCCAAAAATTGAGCCCAATTTCAATTACCATTGAAGCCCTCATGACAAATTCCTTGTCATCATTCTTTTGATCAAGTCATACACCATGGCATCCCTCATCATGCATCCATGCTTAACCTCATCCAATTTTGGACCCGTGAAATTCTCCTACCAAATCTTCAAAATCCATAAATTCCTTCTTAATGAAAATTACCATGGCCTCATGCATGTCATGAAACCACTCATTGGACCATTCACAAGCATACATGGGTCTTATACGCCAAATGTGGTAAAAGGAGGACTTTCCTTCACCTCCCACCAAAATGGCTTAACCAAAACTCTAATCCCACAAAATGCATGTATCTCATGTCAAATTAATCACCTAATCCCCCACGTGTTGGCAACCAACCCCAGCCACCTTGGACTTGACCCTAGTCTATTTTCTATGAGGATGAACCCATGGTTAACCCAACCTAACCCAAACTAATTCCCCATTTTGGAAATTTGCAATTACTCATGTTTGTACAAAATTGACTTCACATCTCCCCACTTCTGACCTCCCACAGTATGAAGGTGACTTTGCATAGCCGACCGACCACTCCTAGCCGCCTGAAAACACCTAGTTCAAGAAGGCTCCCACGGCCAAAACTCAAAATTTGAACTCCTTGAGATGGCTCACTTCCATTGGACATTGGATCCTCTCTTCCCTCCACCTAAGCACTACTTTGACCACTCTAGCTTGCCCTGTTGGCAGCCATAGCCCAGTTTTTAAATAAACCACCTCCTCTCGGCCAAAGAGGAGGAATGCACAAGACTCTGACGAAGACCTGCCAAATTGTTCCCAGACCCTCTCACAACCTCACGTAGCTCATCACCAAAATTTTCAAGCCCTTAAATTGACCACATAGCCCCAAGAGAGTGATCATCAGGGAGCACTCTTGTGAAGTACGAGGTATTGGCTTGACACCAATCATCAGTTGGCTCATCAAAAGCAAAGAGGATTGCACCTTCAATTCCCAAAGGACTTGCTCCTGAAGGCTCAAGAGACACCGGTGACAGGACCATTTTATCTTGTATCGCAACTGTCATGGGGTCACCAGTAGGAATTGACAATTCCTTAGAAAGCTTAGTTATGACATCAACTATTTAATTAATGAGAATGGGAGATTCCAACAAAATTAATATCGGGGATGCACTCTAGTAATGTCATAACTCTTTTATGATGGTCTAAGAGGTTCAGTTTGAGAACTTTGTAGGTTCCCAACACTTGACAGATAATGAGTTGGGAATTCCCTTAAACATTGATCCTTTGCATGTTCATTTAGATGACTAATTGCAATCCAAGGGTCAAGGTTATTTGTACGTAGCTTTATTAAACTATATGAATAACAAAGAATTCCATGCTTAGAGAAATTAAAATGAGGCTGGTGTCGGTCTTCACCCTTTGGAAAGATCCTGATGGGTCTTTCTTTAAGGAATATGCTCCATCAAAGTACAAGTCCCACATAGGGGAATTAACGAAAAACAGATACATGTCAAAAAAGTCATTATTTAGCGATGAGTCGGCTGGGACTGGATGTGCCGCTAGAAAATTAGCCAAATCCTGTCCTTTGATGGCTAGTTAATGGACAAATGATATGTCAAACTGCGATAGCATCATGGCCCATCTCGCTAGTACCTCAGCTGGGGCCGGTCATCAGCTATTGTAAGGGGTTTATAATAGTGGGGTTGTATTGAGGTGGTATTAGGGTGGTGTTAGGGTTAAGATGTGGCATTGATGTGTTATTGATGCGATATTGATCTGTTATTGCAGTGGATTAGTGATGTTGATGTGTGATATTAGTGTGATATTGAGGTGACTTTGGTGTGGTGTTGAGAGGTTTTTGAGAAGATACATATCTGGTGATATTAGGGTGGTATTAGAGTGGTATTGGAGGGGTAATGTGGTGGTATTGATGTGGATTAGTGGTGTTAACGAGCTTGTGACATTGGGGTGGTTTTAGGGTGACATTGTGGTATTAGAGTGTTATTGAGGTGGTATTGAAGTGATATTGATGTGATGTTGTTGTGATATTGATGTGGTATTCTAGTAGATCAGTGGTGGTGTTGATGTGTGGTATTGAGGTGGTATTGATGTAATAATAATGTAGAATTGTAATAAAATATCAATTTTGTTAAGATGTGATATTAAGGTGGTATTGAAGTGATCTTGGAGTTATCTTTTATGTCTTTCATCACACATTAAACAAATGAACCATATCAAATAAGTATATTGTTTTCCAATAATAACTTTATGATTTGGCTCAAATTTTAAGTACAAAATAGTACAGCAAACAACTGGGACAAAATAGTTGCTGAAGAAATACATTCCATGATTAAGGGTCCATATGGGCAGCTTATTTGGCGCGGTGACGTTTTGAAAATGTAGTTTGGTTTTTTAGTTAAACTGTGTTTTGACAGTTTATGCGTTTTGAAAACGCTGAAAGTAGCATTTTCACACCGCACCTATCTATCTGTGTTGACAGCTCTCTGGCAGCGGTTTGACTTTTTCAAAAAAATAAAAATTTATAATAGCAACCACACTTAGCTTATCAGCAGATTATTCAATAAGCTGCAGCTGCACCATACAGACCCTAAGGATGGTTTATACATCTAAAAAATTAAACACTGATTAAGGATGACCTGTTTACCTCAAAAGCTCCACTCATGCTTTTACCCTTTTCTCATTCAATTTTGTTCTTCAGCATCACACAAAACCTTAAAAATTATGTAATGAGTTTACGACATACTCTGGCGATGCATGTAGAGATAACCAAAAGTCGAGAGACATAATTATCTTAACGAATCTCCTCCCTAAACCTCGGATGCTCTAATGACATTGATAAAATTTTGCTAGGTTATGAGTAGCGAAAAGGAGAATTTTATGCGGTGTTTGGCTGCAGCTGCAGATTTACGTTAACAGGGTTTATCGAATTCATGAAATTCTATGAGCTCACAACGGAGAATGAGCACACATGCAATGACGGAGTAAATACACGTAATCGGTGTCATAGTCGGATTTGATAAATCCAGATTTACATCTCACATGAGATAGAATGAGGAAGAAAAAGACGGAACATGAGAGAATTGAAATTAGCATGGAGTTAAATTTAAATTTTATTTTATTTGATGTTTGATTGAATTTAGTTATAATTTATGACTAAATTATTTTAGAAGTGTGCTAGCAAAGATTTTTATGGATGGCTGATTTTGGGCTGGGTTCACGGAGGCCAAAAAGGTGTCTAATATCAGGACTTAATATTTTCTCCTGTGCGTGCTTCGCCATGGTTCTCTGTAGAAGTTGGAGGACTCGTTTTATCCTCCTCCTCCCTCTAATCTTTCTCATCCCACTTCTCTTCTCAGGCAAGACTATTTCTACCCTATCCTCCCTCTAAATTGTTCAACATCTACATGTTAATGGAATCCTTCTATCTTCAGTCTCCGAGCTTCATCAGAAACCGATCCAGCGAGAGCAGAGGACAAATTTATCAAAGAAATCAAACCATATCATTCTTGGGCCTGCCGCTGGCCAGGGTTTTCCTAACCGACTCCAATGCGAAGGTAAATGGCGACGTTCCTCATTGATGCTTTGCGAACCATACTTTGCTCGATCTTTTTAACCTAAAAAAAAATCTGTAAATCCAAGCTTGTTGAAGCAGTGGAAAAATGTTGGCTGTGCTTCTTTCCGGATTATGTTACTGTTCCTAGAGTATAGATCTCACCCAAATGGTTTTTAGATACACTTGCATCCGTTGTTCATGATTTATTTCATGCATTAAAGAAGTGGCGTCTTTCCAAGAGAATTGCTGTATATTTCACTCATTCACGATTGGAATATATTGTTGCTTGTTTCGTTTTTTATGATGATGGACTTTTTTGTACAGGTGCTGTAATCTTATAACTTAATTGTTTTTTATCCTGAAATACATTCCGGGTAAATTTTTCTCTCTCTTCAATTTTTAACTTTAAACGCTTACCATAGGCATAGCTGTCAAATAAGATGATGCTTCAGTACGTGATAATAATTCTGATAATTTAATGTAGTTAGATTTTGATCCGCTGGCCTTTTTTTAGGAGGTAATGAAAATGCTGATGTAGTCGATAAATTCTTAGGATCTGATTGAATTTGGGAGAATTTTATGTTAAAAGGTTAAATTGAAGTAATTCTTCTTATTATCTAGCGGCTGCATTCTATTTGCCTTAGAAATATATTGCCGGTAGAGTAAGAACTATGACAACTGTAACTAGTTTGGCTTTGTATATGCTCATATTTTCCCTTTCTCTTAATGCCATTTAATGACATATGGATTTCTATGGTGGTATTTTCCTATTTTTAATTTTCCTCAAGCAGTTTGCTAGATTCATAAAATATTTTGCTTCGTTTGTTTTCACATAGAACTATTTGTTGGTCCAGGTCTCAAAGCTATGAATCGAATCCTTTTGCCAAGCTTGCAGAAGAATCTTGATATAAGCGAAAGGGTGTCTTTCGTCTCTATGTTTACAGTGTATAACAGTTCTCGTAGGTTAAAAATGGAAAGTGTAGACAACAATATGGATGGAAAGGTGATTATTGGGAACACTTCATATACCAAGCCAGAGAGATCAATTGCCATTCTCAATACCTTCATTAACTTCATTCAGGTATGTTACAGTACCATTGAAGCACACATGCAGATTTATATACAACTTATAATGTTATTGTATGGCTTATGTATGCTACTTCTATGAAACCTCATATTGATTATGCTTTAACATTTGAAATTGTAAATTGTGTTATTGTATGCTAGACTACATCTTTATGTATTTTTTATTAATTTATATTATTTTATTTATTTTTATTTTTATGTCTTTTAAACACAACACAAATGCAATGATATTTTAATGAAAATTTCACACTGGCTTCTCAATTTCAATAACACCATGTTTCTTTATGATTTTATATGTTGTCATCTTCATCAATAATCATATCCCGACTATTTGGGGCTAGAATGATTTCCTTGCGTTATACAACCAAATCAAAGACAGAGAATAGTGGTTAGAGAAAAATGAACTTATTTTTGTGACCTTGCTGTGCAAAGTGATGCTTCAGGTTCTCCTGTAGTTTGTGGAATTGGATTAGATACTAATGTGTGGCTTTTATTAAATTGTGTTTAAAGGTGACAATTGCTAAAAAGAACTAAATTCTTAATATAATTTGTCCGTTGATGAAAAATAGGATTAGAAGAGGCGTTTATTATAATTTTGTCTCTGTTATTGTAGGAGAAGTTTAGTAGAACAATAATAGTACATAAAGTACTAAATGAAACAAAATAATGAACGACATTTGTGGGGTCACAAGTTTAACATTAGTACAACAAAGATTGTCTTCACAATATACTATTTTAATGTTATTGAAGTTGACAATCACGTGTCCATAGTGTTTGAAGGACCATTGATGCCTAGATGTGTAGGTTTAATTGTCTTGAGTCTTAGTGAGAAGATTGAAAAAGGAACTGTTTGGGCATGTTTGGATCTACTTTGTTTTTTTTTTGCTTTCATTTGTGGCTAAAACATGCTTGGATTATTTATTTATTTATTTTTTGCTTAAACAAGAATATAAAACATGCTAGCAATTGTAATTATAGTGTATATATACACATGTAAGGATCATAATTAAGTCTATTTCATTTATAGTTAAGGTGGAATAACCCTTTTTCAAAATTGTTTAGTTATCATCATAATTCACAACCAATTGATAGTAACTTATATGCTTAATTAATTTTTAGTATTATATGTAAATTTTAATTAATATTTTTATTGAACTAGTGCTACATGACTACCTTCATTAAATTTGTAGTTAATCTTATTTTGAGTATTTAACTTATTAATTATTTTATAACTAATTTCCATAACTTAATAAAAATAATTTTTTTGCTTTTAAATTGCTACAAATTATTAAGATTGTATGTGTATGATATATATATATATATATATATATATATATATGATAAACGTGTAAAAAAATAATAATAATATAAAATAAAATTACATGTGTGTCGTTCAAATGAGATGCGACGTTCACGGGAATCGTATCAACAAATACTTTCCCTTGTTTCATTCTACCAAACACACGAAGAAAGCATAGGGATGGAAAGCGAGGGATAAGACCGGGAGAGGCAACGACATTGTGAGGAGGACAAGTTAAACCCTAACCAAGCAATTCGAGCGACAAAAACCAACCAAGCGAGCCACATGTGAGCAGAGGAAGAAGAAGAGGAAGAGGAAGAAGAAGAGGAAGGAGAGTGAGGGATTGAGAGAGAGTGCTTCAAACCTTAGTAGTGTTGCATGTGTATCGTGGAAGGGAAAACGACACTGAGGAAGGAGCACATCCGACATATGTGCGCAGGAGCAAACCGTGTGAACTATAACCATTTGGTACGGGCACCGAAAGGAAGGACCTTGCGTGCAAAAGGGGAGGCTCTACCGTTTTGTACGAAGGAAGAAGACAGGGTAGAACCGAGTTGTTTGCTGTTGAAGGAAGAAGAATCGTATGGGACTTGAGCTTGTGCATTGAATTTCATAGACTTACACGTCTATTGTGCCTCTTCATCGAACAAAGTGTGCAGAGTAGGAAGCCAACACTATCAAGAGTGTCAAAATTTCAGCTTGGATGTTGAGAGCATCATGTGTGGGCTTTGGTTTTCATTTCGGATCAAGTTGAATTGATTAAGCTATTTTTTATTAAGTATTTCATCTAATTGTTGGTTTGTACTTATAACATATTTATTTAGGATTCTTTTTGAAAATTACTATACATTAAATAAGATTTAGATTTAATAAAGAGAATAAAATAAGTATAGAAATTGCAAAGATTAATAATCCAACTAGGACAACGCATTAAATCTAAATTAATAATTTATTATAATCGTTAATTAAATTAAATAAAAATTTAAATAAGAAAAAAAAATGGAAATTAGGATGTTAGGATTTGAAGGGATTAATATATATTAAATCAAATAATTGAGCATTGATTTATGCATAAAATGACTACCTAAGAATATAAAGATTGAAAAACTAAAAACAAGTTGTACGGTATTGAGGTGAATACTTATGTTCTTATGTTATATTGATATTTTTGCTTTTTATTGACTGAATGCCTTTACTGTTAATTACTGTCACTAGCTATATTGAAAACACTGTAAACTCATGATTTATGATTGTATTGATTTTTTATATATATTATAGAAAAGACGTGTGCTAAACACTGTTTAAACTACATAGATAATAAATGTTATATATGTTTATTGACTGCTATGCAAATGAGAATGAAATAATAATTATTAATTAGTGATTTTCATAGTATGTTTGCACGTGCATGCTTGACAATTATGAAGTTCACCATTTTATGGTGCTGAAGAAAAACACTAAGATATTCGCACACGTAAATGAAAAAAATTATTGATATTGATGTGCTTAGTTGACATAATTTTAGACAATACTCCTATGATAGTTGTACAAATATAAAACGATATAGACATATTTTTGATATAATAATACACATGGAATGTTATGAGGTGAGATCGATCGAATTCATAAATGATTAAATGTTTTTATACAGATTTATTAAATATTTAATTAGCATGCATATTTGTGATAACCAGTTTTGTGAAATCAGGTAAAATTTTTGACAACTTAAAATGTATCTCAAATTTCACACTTCTCAGATTTCAACCGAAGTAATTTTATAAAGTTTTACACGTCAAATCGATCAAATTAGTATAAAACACTAGATATGAATTATGAATGGATTGAAAGATATAATAATCAGAAGTTACAAGTTAATTAAATCTAATTTACCCTTAATTAACCTCTCCTTAATCACGATTATTGTACCCACCCACTTACCATGCGATATAAGCGTTGAATAGCTCTTTCCCCCTCTCGGTTTGGCTCGTATGCCCTCCTTCCTTGCTCCGGTTTCTCCCTCACACGGCTGCAGCGGCTTGACAGAAGGAGTTCCGCTCGCGCCAATGTAGTAGGGCGCAAACAAAGGCGACCGAGTGGCCACCTGGTAAGCCGCATACATCTGTTCAACGGTCTAAAGAAAAATTGGTAAGTGCGAAACTAACTTTAGTGACATTTGAGACTTTCATTTTTTTCCTCTTGCTTCTATTTTGAGACTTGTCCCGATTTTTGTGTATTTTTCTTTATATTTGGCGGCCGTCGGAGGCGTCAAACTTGTGTCAGAAGTGTCGAAAGTGGTTTGTGAGTTTCCCGAAGGGATTTAACCCAAAATCAACGAAGGGAAAAGAAGATTGAGAAGATATAAATAAGAGGGAAGAAGATTTAATAACTTCAGAGAAGAGTTGGGTTGTCGAGTAGCTATTTAAGGTATATTTTGACAAATCGATTATGCTTTGAGTTAAATCATTTTATGACCTAAGATATCTTGAATTCCTTAGTTTAATATTTCAGGTTGTTTACCCGGATGATAAGTTTGAGGCAAGCATGTGGAAGTTAGTCGTAGAACGACTCCGTAAATTCAGATAAATTACTCCTAAGCTAAGAAGAATAATTTAACTAACGGGAATTGCTTAAATCTTAATGTTTAATATTATGTTTTATGACGTCCAACTTTATAAAAATTAAGTGTCTAGCATGACAACTCAGGTGAGTAGTTACATTTCTAAATTTTAGTAATTTTTTATTTCAAAATGTATGTTTGATTTTATGTATGTTATAGTTTAATTAGATTCTTTATATTGTTAGGCATCATTGGTATGCATGAAAGACATGTATGAGATGCATGATATATAAGATGTGCATGATATGAATGTTATGCATGATAAACACGATAAAAAAGTTATCTATGATATGAGTAAGAGATATGCATAAGGTAAGAATTATGAATAATATGAGAAATATGCATGCTAAAAGAGATATGCGTGATAATCTATTTCACAACAGCATATGCCTGTTACTAGATGCATAAAAAATGTCTCAGAATAATGTATGTTTTAAAGAATGAAATACTTTATATATGAATGTTTGTATGAGCATGTTCAGAAAATGAGTTCACCCACTAATGATACAGGCAGTGGACGCTAGTGTGCCGAAAGAGTTTTTCTACCACCATGAACAATTTTGACGATTAGATTAATAACCGCTGTGCCGACGAGTTAATATCGGTAGGGGCGAGTAGACCAGAGTTTAACTTCTCAGACAATTGTGATGTTTACATTGCTAACTGCCGTACTGATGGATAGTATCGACCAAGAGGCAGGTAAGGGCCTTTTCCACCTTAGACGATTGTGATGTTTACATCACTGATTGCTGTGCCGATAGGAGTCGACGAGGTAATATTAGCAAATAGTGTCTTAGGTTTTTATTAACAGTGTTCCTCATAGAGACGTGTATGTAAAAAGTATATAGTAAGAGTAAATATAAAGTAAATGCATCTAAAAGATTTGAGAATTTTTATTTAGAAAATATCATTGATACATGCATTAGCATGTATAAGATTTATTATAAAAATATGAAAAACTAGCATATTATAAGATTTTCTTATAGAGATATGAAATACCAACATGCATCTGAAATCATTTTCCTTAGGTTACTTTAGTTAGAAGTGTGATAACTCATAGGTTGTCTTTAGATAACTC